TTCTACTCCCGTAAAGATTTACACCCTTGGAAACCCTGTACAGGGTCGCTATGGGTCGGAACCGACTCGACGGCACTTAACAACAACAACAACAACTTCAGGATAGGCTTAATCATTTCGTATTAGAAAAAGAAAAGGGCTGTTATAATGTCTGGCTAATAAAATTTTAGCTAGAGCATCATCAGTTACCAATAGTTGTCTCTTGTAATTTTTATTGGTGTCTCTTTCAGAAGATATAGATTGAACTGATCACTTTTCATTGTCTTCACTTCCTCTTCAAAAGCACCAAGCTCCTTCTAGCCCTGAGCTTTGAGATTCTTGATTCCTTCTGCCCAGAGTAAATGTCCATAGCTTTAACATTAGGTGGTCTTGTGATATGCATCAATAGTGGTACATTTCCTTCATGACTGTTGTTCTAATTTAGTTCTCCACTTAAGATCAGCTTTCTCTTCTAAATTGTAAGAAACATTAGAGTAGGGATTTTGCTTATCTATATTGCATGCTTATAGTTTACAATGCTTGGCACCTGGTGGTCCAGCAGATTGGTTGAATAAAGATTTATGAACTAGACTGCAAAGTCTGAGTCTGTGCCCACTTTTATATTGGAGTCCTGGTGTGGCACTGTGGGTTAATGCGCTGGACTCCAAAGTTGCTTTTAACCACAAGGGCAGCTGTTCAAACTCACCTGCTGCTTCCCAGAAACCATATACAGTGTCACTGTAGGTCAGAACTAACTCAACAGCACTTCACAACAACAAGGAAGAGTATATAATGTTTTGGACCTGTGGAGGCAAATTTGTGGGGCTTCTGAATTAATTTAAATATAAAACTGTGTACAGTAACAAATTAAATAGTATCTATATGTGATTGTGGAGTCCTGGTGTGGTTCTGTGGTTTAATGCGCTGGACTGCAAAGTCAGTTGGAATCACAAGGTCGGCAGTCCAAACTCACCAGCTTTCCCTCAGAAACCCTATACAAGGTCACTATGGGTTGGAACTGACTTGACGGCACTGAACATCAGCAAAGTGATTGTGAAGGATTTCAATACTAAATTAAAAGATAACTTTAATAAGAACATAATTAAGTTTGACCTAGTGATTATTTGATCTGTGTCAAGAGGACAAAAGGGCCAAAAACTCAAGGGTGGTCAATTTTAAACTTCTTTCTAATAGGTCACTCAGAAATGCATCTTGTACAAAGTAATGATCTCTTTAGAGTATAATTTAATGTTTGGTTATTTATTGCTATAATTTGGAGTGTCTGGTGCAAATTCAAACTTCCTACAATGATTGTGTCAGTCTTATTTCTCCTTTTTATTCTATTGGCCACTGAAGTATTGTTGATTGGCTTTCTGATACTTGAATAGGAGGTGAGCTGCTGGATAATTTCAGTTAATACTATTTTATTTTTTTTTTTTATTTACCAGCTTACGTATATCACCTTGAAGACTGCAATACATGGAGATCTATGAGTAAAACTCAACATCCAAGTAAGATAACACCATTAATCCTCTCTTCAACAAATAAGTATAACTTGTCACAAGATGTCAATTTTAGAAGTTAGGACCAAATTCTAGTAATATGCTGTATATGATGCCTTTTACCAAATTATGAGATTAAGACCTAGAAAGAAATACAGTACTACTTCCTAAAAATGTTTGAATAAAAAAGGTATTAATTTGAATGATGTACCTTTAAATTTATTTAAAATAAAGAAAACAGCTTGCATAGGCTCACACATACCTTTGTTTGACACTCCTTTTCAAAGATAAACTGAGAAACAGAAAATAGGTATTCTAGCCCCCAAAAAGCCAATCTTTAAAAAAAAAAAAAAAAACTGCAAAAACTATTTTTATGGTTCCTCTGAACTTAAGAAAAGGAATATATCCAGGAACAGAGCTTCAAAATCTATGCAATGCTCCATTGTTGGCAGTTACCTTGGATTTTAACTAGATGGACAAGTTGACTTCTGACCATGGGGAATCCTCTCCATGCATGGATTATGGATTGTTGAGGCCATGGCAGAGAACCAGTTCCACAGAAGCAACTTCATGTTCTTCTGAGGAAGCTCGATAGCACTGTGGAACAAGGAATATAAATGAGCGATGCCACAAGATTGCTAATGGGGTTACCAAAATACAACCCTCACAAAGAAAAAAGAAGCATGGAAGTGCAAAATCTGCAAAGAAAAAAAAATACACTTTAAAAAAGGGAATTTAAGAAATGACTTCAGTTATCATGTCAAGAACACTGGAGGATGTTTCATAAGCAATTTGACAGTCAAAATATCTGTTCATTCCAAGCTCAATAAGTCAATAAGTTACACTTTAGTTACAAAAACAAAACAAAACAAAAAAAAACACCCAGCATTGTCAGAATTAAAAAAGAAAAATAGAATGGAAAATATCAAATATTGAAACTGTAGTAATAAAATATTTGTCATTCAATCATTTCCATTTAAATTACGTTAGATTCCATATAAACCCTTCCTCCACCCATAGTCATACACGAAACACACCAATTTTTAAACATTTTATAATGGCCAAAGAAAGGGTTTACATGTTTATTAATGGAACTCACTTTTTAAATTAGTTTTTAATCAACTGCTAATCTATTCTTGCCTCATAATAGTTCCATTCCATTTCTCAATCCCTTTCCTGACGTCTATCAATTAATGTCCTGCACCACGAGGAGCGTTTCCTGTGCCACTTTGGAATGTATCTTCTTCGGGCTGAAATAATTACAGCTCATAAAGTTCTTGTTTTCTTCTTTAGATCCTACTAGGATTGACAAAGGCATTTTCAAAGGCAAATGGTTCTCTTCTACTCTCTGATCATCCATCTCCTCTTCTTCCTCTTCTATATCCTCCTCTTCAAATTCTTCCTGCCCCTCCTCCACTTCATAGTCAGTGGCTTCGTTGTCCTCTTTATTCTCAGCCTCCTCCTCTCCAGGTTCAGCCTTCTCCTCTTCTTCCTCTTCTTCTTCCTCTCCATCCTCGGCCTCCTCTTCCTCTCTATCCCAGGCCTCATCCTCTTCATTTTCTCCATCGTCATCTTCATATTCACCATCCTCACTCTCTGCCTCTTCATCCTCTTGTTCGAACCCATTGTCATCACACACTTCCTCCTCACAAACTTCCTCCTCACACTCCTCGACCTCATCACCGTTTTTCTCGTCTTCCTCCACCTGTTGAGGGTTGGGAAACAGACTTTCTTCCTTGGAGGCAGGACTGAAGACTAGAGCAGGATTTTGCACCAAGCCATAGAAAATTCCCTGAAGTTCAGCATCTTCCTCGTACCCGCTAGGTGGTGAATCTTCTCCAGAAGCAGCCATTGGAGAGGTCGGGTCGCTGGCCTGAACTTGCTGGGCCCGCAGCGCCTCCTGCTGCCGCTCCAGCTTCTCCTGTTGCCGCATGTCCTCATAGTTCTGGTTCATAATGAACTGGGTGGTGTTTCGCGGTGCACGCATGCCAGGAGCTCGCCATCCATACAAGTTGCCTGGCCGCAACAGCATGCTCAAATCTCCAGATGGGCTTCTTTGGGAGGAGCGGCGAGGGCGGCGTCGCAGACCGCGGCCCCTTCGGCCCCATCGCCTCTTTCTTCCATGGGGCCTTGTGCAGCCGGGGTTCCAGGATCCATGCCAACAGGAGCAGCAGCAAAGGCAAAGCGGGTGAAGTCCATACACCCAGATCAATTGCACTCTGCGAGGTACCTTCCAGAATCCCGCCGGGGGTGGGTACCAGGGACCTCTCCAGCGCCTCCAGTTGGAGTACACAGCCCAATAAGGCCTTCGGGGTGGTTGGTACCAAGGACGTGGGCCGTGCTGTTGCTTCGGCTGTTTCCTCGGAGGCTCATCTTCAGCCTTGGGGCCATAACGGTACCGCCGCTTGTAAGTTGGAGCGCCCCTGCGCCTTCGGTGGTTTGAGGACCAGCTGTGTACAGGCGCCGAGGATGCCCAGCCGCCGCCCAGGTTAAGAGGATCCTGGAGAGTCTGGGCCATGATTCTGGGAGCCTGAAAAGTCCCAGAAACAGTAGTCAAGGATGGCCAGATCCGCCAGCCAAGAGAACCTTATCACCAGCGTTTATCCTTGGGTCACCTGTCTGCTGATGGGATCACACCTTTCTTTCCAGAATGCCCTCTTCTTTATTTCGTGGCAATCTCTTGTCCTTCGCACTCGGTTGTCTCGCCCAAATGGGTTGGGTGGGACTGGGGCTGGGTAGAATGGTGGGGGAGGAAGGTGTTGGTGGGCGACGCGCAGTGAGACCCGCTCCTGGATGCCTCACACACCCGCCTCTGTGGAGGCTTGCGTTGGGGTGTGGGGAGGGCAGAGGTTGCGCGTTACCTTGGGGCTCCCTCTCAACCTGGGTGCTTCTTGGTGGCCTTCCTGGCCGGACTGAAGTGTCACGGGCCGTGGCAGCCTTTAAATACTGGCCAGGGCCCCCACGAGCTCACCGCATCCTTGGTTGCCTTGGGCGACAGCCAATGGGGGTCCAGGTCGTTCTCCCCATGCCTGCAGGCAGGTTCAGGTTGGAATGAGGTGCCTAGTGAACATTCTTAGGGGGCTTGTGACGCAGCTTTTGAAGGAGGGCAAGAGCAGTAAAGACTGAGGGGTTGTGCTGTCCAACTCAGGCAATTTGAGGTAGTTTATCTGCACTCTACCGTCCTGAGAAAAAGCTACACAGTTTGTATTGAAAATCATGGATCCACACCTTTGCCTGGATGAGGAAATGAAATGAAAGCTTCTGGAGCCAGAAAACCTTACTTCATGCCTTACCTTATGACCCAAGAAGCTCTGGTAGCGTAGTGGTTACGAATCGGGCTGCTAACCTCAAGGTCAGCAGTTTGAAACTACCAGTAGTTTCGCGGGAGAAAGATGAGCTGTTCTGTTCCTATAAAGATTTACAGCCTCGGAAACCCTGTACAGGGTCACTATGAGTCGGTCACTATGAGTCGGAACCGACTCCACAGTACTTAACAACAACCTTATGACACATGACCCTCTTTTAATTCCTGAAAGTTGCAATTCATTATCCATAATGCGAGGATCTCTGATTTTTATTGTACACCTGACATGGAATCCTCACGTAATGCCCCATGAGATAGCTATTGCTACTACCTTTCACAGATTAGCAAATTGAGAGGTTAATTTGCCCAAGATTATGAAGCTCATAAATGTCCGTGCTGGGATTTAAACCTGAGCCTATTTGAATCTACAGTCCCAATTCTTATGGACCTTGCTATAGGCACACACCTTAAGTTGTGTTTTGTGATGAGTAAATGAAATACATATGGAAAGTGCTTTGCAAACTATAATGTCCCATACAAATATCTATCGATTAAATAAAAATTATTACTAGGAGGTAAGAGTTTGTTCACAAATATTCTGTGTTTTTCCTGTATCTCTTCACTGTTCATCATATGTTGTTGTTGTTGTTGTCAGGTGCCATCGAGTCGGAACCGACTCATAGCGACCCTATGCACAGCAGAATGAAACAATGTTCGATCCTGGGCCAACCTCACTACCGCTGCCACACCTGAGTCCATCAATGATGCCACCTGGCTGATTCATCATATAAGCACATACATATACACTGCAAACTTTTATATAGCACAGTGGTTAAGAATATAAGTAAATAAGAATAAATAGTCATGGTTTAACTTTTACATACTTATTATTAACCTCAGAGTCCTGGTGTTTGTGGTGCTGTGGGTTAATGCACTGGACTGCGAAGTCAGTATGAACCTCAAGGTCGGTGGTTCAAGCTCACCAGCTGCTCCTAGGAAACCCTATGCAGGGTTGCTATGGGTTGAAACAACTCGATGGCATTTAACAACAACAACAACATTATTAACCTCTGTTAATAATCAGTATCTATTATATTGATACAACGTTCCTTAACGTTGTATCAGTATAATAGTATCCGATGCAATGCAGGGGTTAAGAGCTCAGCTGCTAACCTAGAGGTTGCTAACCTAGAGATTGGCAGTTTGAACCCATCAGAAACTCTGTAGAAAGACATGACAGTCTGCGTCAGAAAGATTGTTGTTGTTAAGTGCCATTGGATCGGTCTGACCCATAGCGACCCTGTATAGGGTTTCAAGGAGCAGCTGGTGAGCTTGAAGCAGCGACCTTGCAGTTCAAGCCAACTTTGCAGTTCAGCACATTAACCCACCGCACACCTCCAGGGTTCCTTCATGAAGATACAGCCTTGGAGACCTGTGGGGGCAGTTCTACTGTATCCTATAGTCTATGAGTTGGAATCAACTTAATAGCACACAGCAACAACAGTGAATAGGTTTATTTTAAAGATCTAATAAGATATGCAGTAAAGCACTTTGCACAGAACACAGTCCGGCACTCAATAACTCTTAGCATCATTATCATAGTAAAGTATTTCAAGTTATTTTTAAAAAAATGTGATAAGTAAAAGGCACCTAACTCTGTATTAGTACAAAAAATAACTAGGCTGTCCCCTGTGTCCTTTTCTTGTCCCGCCTTTGTAGCAACATCAAGTTTTGCCAGGTTTGATCCTAGAGAAAACCATCCCAGAGTATATATTTCTTTGTTATTTTCCTGAGGTGAGTTGAATTGTACAAAATGGCACTCTGTCTACTGGGAGCCTGAGTCCATACAAGCCTTCATTAAATGACAAAGAAGCAAAATCTGCAAAAGCCCTGAAGCTTACAAATGTCATTTATTTATTCCTGGTAGAAAATTGAGAATGGTATGGGGGTTCTTGGATCAGGTTTCCAACCACTGCTTTGGGACCTGTAGAATCCACAGGCTTCATTCAATTTCATTTGCTTCTTGCTTTGCTGAAGACAAGACTGCTTGACTCAAACAAAATGCATTATGCTGACACTTTTAACCTCCAGCGTCCCCTTTTGTTACTCTAGATGTAAAATCAAACATTTGGCAGTTACCTTTCCCCAACTCTACTTAACTCAAAATGGAATGGTGATATTCCAAATTTATTTTTCTCAGGATTTTGTGTGTGTGTGTGTGTGTGTGTGATAGAAGATACAACATTTTGATTTAAAGCTTTAGAAATCACCATGTTGCTGTAGTGGAATTCCTATCACTTTCCTCTTTGTTTTAGAAAGATGAACTTATTTTACATATATTCAAGGACACTGTTTTGTTTTGTTTTTAATTGTTTCAGCCTTATTGTTTTTTAACTTTTTATTGTGAGTTGGGTAAATGTTTACAGAGCGGATCATCAGTTTTACATTTAACAAATCATATGCATCTTGTTTCATCTCACTGATTATAATTGCCTCAATATAACATCGCTACATTATCCCACTTTCCCTGTTTCTGTTTTGTTTTTTTCTATTCTTTCCTTCCTAACCTTTATGAATTTTGTTCTTGGTCTCAAAGGATCTCAAAGGATTGGATTGATTATTCTAAGATATGTGTACCTCACTAGTGTTATTGTTCTCCTTATAGACAATTTTTTTGATGTTCATATAACATAGTAAGGCATATAACTTTCATATATATTTCCTTACTAAAAAGGTATTAACTCAATATTGTCTTTTCCACTCTATGTTTACTTATAAGAAGCAGCAAATTATGATGTATTTTTTTTTATCTTTTTCTATAGATTGCCATTATGATGATATTTTTCCTGTGATGGTGAATTGCCCAGGAAGATTATCAACTGAATATGTTAAGCACAATATTCAGTTATTCAATTAGCAGATTTTTAAAGATGCAGTTTTTTAAAGATTTTATTGTAGATTGAATTATCACTCAATAAGATAGGTTGGGAGAGAGGATGGGAGAACATCAGTTTTGCACTCATTCTATGATACTTTGTTTCATTGAAATAACTACAATCCCCTCCATGTATCATCATATTTGCTTCTATTCCCTTAGTTTTTATTTGTTTATTTGTTTATTGATGTACACAAAAACACTCAGAAATATACAATCATTTAAACAACCAAAAGGCACATTCTGCAAGCCTGCCTCCTGGCCTCCAGCACACAGCCTTTGTCTTTCCATGAGTCTAGAGTCCTCAGATGCTCTATCTCTCCATGCCATCATCTCTGCCTTTATCTCTGGTGTCACTGCTTCTCTGGTTAACGGTCCCATATTCCGCTCATGCTCTTCTCCCTTGATGGTCCTAGGGTCCTCTGTTCCTGGACTGTAAGATTAACTACTTCCTCCTTTATATTACAAAACTTTTACATTTACAGTTGTGACAATCACCATTAGTCATGGTAACAGTTACTATTGAATCAAAAGAGTCTTATCTTCATCTCCTTTCACCGGACCTATCTAAACAAGATGAAAACTATTCAATGGGGATTCTATCTTCCTTCACACATTCTGAAACTAAACTCCCTCTGGAAAACATATAAACCAACCACTTTGTGCCTTTTAGCACACACACACACACATACACCACACACTCTGTCCAATTTTAGGTAGCCAATGGCTAGGTTGTCCATCCCTATCAACCATTTACACCGAGGAAATATGTTTGATCTTTGATGTGAAGACTCCTTAACTCTCAGTTGGTAGTTCATCAAATTGTAGCAATTTATACTTGTTTTCTTTAACAAATTTATCTTCCTTTATTCGTGCTCTGGTAATGAAGCCATTGAAGCTAGGCTGAATGAGTACTCTCTGGAAGTTTGGGCATTCTTGTGTGTCTTCCCCCACTTTATGTCAGCTGGATACTTCCCTGTCCAGTCTAGACTTCTATGGCTGTCCATGGGCTCAGGTGTTCCCAAGTCTCCCCGAACTTTGCACCAACCAGACTTTCCTCTTCTTTTTCTCATCACAAGGTCAACAGGGTCAATAGAACATGGTTGAAATCAACCCATATCTTCTTTCCTGACTCTCCCCCACTTACACTCAAATGTAGACCAACACAGTTGCCAGCGAGCTTACACGCCCGCTCATGAGTTGCCTTTGAATTTCAGTCTTGGAGGCGGGTTTCTCCTGAATTGACTTGATTGCTTGCCTTGATGGCTCCCTGGTGAAC